GCCAGCCGTCTGGTTAGCAGGCAAGTGTCTTAGCCACTATGCTACCAGGGCTCCCCTACTCTTAGGCACCTTAAAAATCTTCTAGCCTCTAACCATTACCCAATTCTAAAACCACTTTTACAGTTTAGATATCTGTTAGAGCAGCACCCGCTCTTCCACTATCAAATTCTGTCTTAGTTATCTAGGGTAGCTATAATAGAAGTACCACAAGTCAATCCCTGTCATAAACAGAAACTTATTTTTTTACAGTTTAGGAGGCTAGAAGTCTGAATTGAGGGTGCCAGTGCTAGGGGAAGGCTTTCACTCTTCCTGAAGGAAGCTCCTTGTCTCTTTGTAATTTATGCTCCTGGGAGATCTTCATGTGACTTGGCATTTCTCTTCCACATCTCTGTTTTTTGTCTTTTTTAATCTCTTTTGTGCATGCAATCCCTGGGTTACCAACATCCAAGTTATATACAACCCTTAGTTATGAACCAACCCCTATAAAGTACTTTAAAAATTCTAGGTACATAACAATGATTCATAATAACAATCAAGCAAAATACTTGATTCGTAATAACAATCAAGTATTTTGCAATGTACATCAAAGCATTATTATTACTGTATTATTATGTTAAAGATGTTTTAATGTATCTGGAAGTGTTTCTTTAATGCTTTCTGTGCATGCAAAAGTACACTATTTATTATATACTAAACAAACATTTGATTAACCTTGGATACAAACCATAACTAACTGTTCTGATTTACATACAGATTCAACTTAAAGAAAGATTTAGGAATGGAACTTATCATAATCCGGGGATTGCTTGTATCTCAAAAGAGATTGATTCAAGATATAATCTACATTAATCCTGTCTTATGTAACATATCCTAGTAGTTAAAGAATTACTTTAACTTTGTTTTGGAATAGATATGCTACTTAACTGTGTAATAAGGAGTGGTGCATTTAGTAGTATCCAACTAAGTTTATAATTTAGAAAGGAAATATGCTTACACAGTATTTTCTGACTGGTGACACTTAAAAAAAATCAGATTCCATCGATCATGAAGTAAGGTCAGTTAGTGTTATAATGCCAGGAACTAGGTTAGCATGAGAGGATTTTTTGAAAAGGAAAATTATATGTCATAACTCTAATAATTTTATTGTAATTTTTTTTAAAAATGGAATACTTTACGTTGTATGTATGTACATATGTATCTATGTGGAGATAGGCAGAAATATTTCAAACATTCAGAAAAGTACAGAAACTAATAAACACCTGTGTACCCACTTGATTAAATTCTAGCATTTCTTCCTTGACTTTTCATGGTGTATAGAACAGCACTCAGTCA